CATGTGATCTTTCCCAAGTTTTCTTCTGAACTTGTTGCACCGAATCAGCTATGCTGCTCGTCCGCATATTAATTTGTGATGCATCTGCAGCTACGACGAGCATGTGCTGTTGTGGGACACCAGGAACATGAAGCAGCCGCTGGCAGACACCCATGTTGAAGGTGGAGTTTGGAGGCTAAAGTGGCACCCAACTTGTGATTTCGTGCTGTTAGCAGCCTGCATGCAGAGCGGATTCAAAATCCTGGACTGCCGTGGAAGCATGGGTGAGTGTTCAGTGGAAGAGAGATGCTCTTGCACTACTCTGCTGCTCTCCTCTCTTGCCTCCAAGTTAATGGGGAAGCTCCAGCTCTGAGCCTGCTAGAAAGATCCAGATACTGTTAATAGCCTGAGACATTTATTCCAACTTAAAGTAACTCTTCCAGCTTTCCCAGACCTACCCTCACTGTTGGCATGATAGGCTGTGCCAAGGCACTGTCATTATTCATGCGTAAACCTCTCATAACTTCTCGTGGGAGCAAGGCCTGTTTGCCTTGGTGTAAAAGCACAACCTGTTGACGTGACCATTCCGGTTTGTATTCATCTTGGTGGTTCAAAGAGGTTCTTGTGAGTATCAGGTGATGCTTTACTGTCAGCAGAAGTTACTGACCTACTGGTTATTGCCTCAGAAAGGAAGTGCTGTGCAGTCTGGTTAATCTAGAATAGCACGAATAAGCCCTGTGCATGAATCAGAAGGTATTTATGTGATTAAAAAGCTGTTTGCCTTTACATTACAAATACAATCTGCATAAAATGGTTGCATTGCTGGGCTTCTCCAGGCCTTGGGCAGATCCACAGCTGCTGAAATGAGGATGACATTTCTTCTGTATAGGGATGGGAGGAACTTGATATCCACTTAACAATCAGTAAAATGCTGAAAGCACCTGGGAAGAACACATCTGTAATCTATTAATAACCAGAACCTGGTCTACCAATCTTATCTGTTATTTTTATGGCTCATTGGAGATCGCTGTATGATCTGCCTTGTCTTTCTTGAGCCTGTTTAGGTATTTTGAATAATGAAGCTCTTAAAACGTCACGCCCATTAAACCCTCTTCTCTTGTCTGCTCACTGAACTAGGGAAAATCAAGGCTAGTGAGAGGTGGCTGAAGAATTGTCAGGAGAGCCAGGACCTTGTTCCTCCTAGGATGCTTAACTCTGTTGTCAAGAAGGTCGTAACCAGTTCTCTGGGGTAGTACAACAACTCTTGTATGACACTGGGACAGGCTCCCCAGGGCAGTCACAGCACCAAGCCCGTTGGAGCTCAATGCTCTCAGACATAGGGGTCGATTTTTGGGTGGTCCTGTGTGGGCCAGGAGTTGGACTTGATGATCCTTGTGCGTCCCTTCCAGCTTGGGATGTTCTGACTCTGTGCCATAGTCAATATGAGAATGCCTTGCAAGCAGTCTGCAACAAACTGTTTCACAACTTGCTTTCTGCTCATTTCATTATTATTTTTTTTTTTAAGCGGAGAACATGGAGGAGTGTATCATCCTGTCATCCTACGTCTTGCACAATTCCTTGGCCTATGGGGCTGACTGGTCAAGACTCTGCCCGAGGGATTCCTTGTCTGCAGCCCAGGACTCTGCTGCTACGTACCAGTCTTTAGGGGAGCTTGTGGCAAGACCAGAGGAAGGAGACGAGAGACTGAATTTGCAGGTTCGAAACCTGAAGATAATTTATGAGTCTCCTACAGCTACTTTTGATGTAATATTGGATGAGGAGAGCGAGGGCCCTGCCTTGCCGCTCAAAGACGAGGCGCATCCTAAGCTGTCTGGGGATCCTGACCTGGGTAGGGAGCCTGGTTTAAGGGAGAGCTCTGGCACTGACCGAGGGGGAGACCCTGAGTCAGTCGGCAGTTCTGACCCAGGGAGTTAAGAGACCCAACAGGATGAGCCTGGACAGAAGTGATGATTCGGCCAGTCCAAAAGAAATGAGCATTGTAGCAACCTGTTCTTTCTATGATAATATCCTACACGTCTGGAAGTGGGAAATGAGCCTGGCCACCCCTTTGGAGACGGCTGGTACTAGATCTCCACCTGAAAGAACGGTTCAAAGTTTGCATTGACAGTCCCTGAGGGAAAAGGGTAGGAAAATTTCGGCACTGACAGTAACATCTAAGCTTATGCCCTAATTTCTTTTGGGTTTTGCCAGTTTGTATGGTTGCGTTTGTGAGTCTTAGAAGTCAATACTGATGGAGTTATTTCCTGATGGTTTTATTTTCAGCACTGAGGAAAATTTTTGTTTTGAGAAGTGTGGTCAAGCACAGACACGTTTATTCAGTTTTCCCTTAATGTACTAATTCAAAGTAGGACAGCCTTCCTCTCAGAGGCTACTCGTTTGTACATTATGTTGGAATCCCTTCAAGGCTGGTTTGCATTTGTGTGATTGAAGCCTGTTCTCCTTCCAAAACAAACCAAACTTGTCTGTGCTCCTCCATGTAGCCAAACACACACGTTGTGATCAGAGGCTTCCATGCATTTCTCAAAAAAGTCCATGAGTAGAGGCTTAGATGTGTACGTAGCTCGTTGTGTGATCCGTAAACTAGCATGTTCTTTGAGAAGACACTCAAAGGCAGTCCAGATACTGACAGTGCATTGTGCTTATGGTGATACTTAGTAAAAAGAAATTCCTTTTATGGAAGGAAATCTAAACTGACTAGTGTGACAGAGAGCAGCTCAGCAACAGGAAGCTTTGTTCCAATTAGGGCCTTTCTTGTAAGGATTCTGGTATATCTGCACACTCAAACTTTACATCAGGCTCATCACCTGGATGCAATCTCACTTTATTGCTCTCCAAGCTAAGCATGAGCTGGCTTAGCAGAATGTGTGTAGGAAGCCCTGCTTGTATTTTAGTGCCACACTTAACCAACCCCTTCCCACCCTGTAGGCATCAAACCGTTGTTTTTTTTTGTTGTTGTTTTTTTCCATACAGAGATGTACATTTAGGTCCAAAGTCAAGATCTTACAGGGTTTTTTTTAAAGGTGAACAGCTTTAAAATCAAAACCTCCAAAAAGTACAGGCAGTGTTTCCTGACATTTTTTAAGTTGAAAGTACAGAAACCAAAATCTTAACAGCATTGCCCTAACTACCTCCAGGAATGGCTGCAGAATTTCTCATGGTTACTCCATTAGCTTTCTTTTTTCACTGTGAAATATCAGCAAAACACCGTTTCTGGAAACACTTTCTCTGTTTTTAATTTCATTCTAGAAACAAATGAGCTTAGACTAGGTAAGTAATTTCTAGCTTGCATGGTTTCTCTTTGAGAGTCCTAAAGAATTAGTTGCCTGGAGGGAAAGAAACACCAGCAACAACTTTCTGTAACAGTGCTGCATCTAAAATGAGGTACAGTAGGTAAGAATTTTACTGCTTTGAAACTCTTTTTTCAAAGGTGAATGTGTATTTTAAAAAAAACTCTCGAGCGCTGTTACATTAAGATTCATATTAGTATTGCGAACAAGAGCTTTTGTTAAAAAACGCCCTATTTTTGGATGTTTCTAAAATAAAATCAAGACAAGTGATTCATCTTTCTTGTTTGTTTTGATTTTTGTAGAAAGCCCTTCATGCTTTGGTTGGATTATTGCTACATTTATAATCACTAAACTACATAAAGCCTGCGTTGTTACAACCCGTACTGATCTAAGACAAAAGAATTTGTACTAAGAAGAGTGATTCACTGTCTTTAGTTATGACTTACTCTAGGACAAACACCTGTAGAACACTACTGCTGGCATTCTTCCACCATGAAAATCAGCTTTTACTCTTCCTGTTTCCCATCTTTAGCCAGTTACTCCACCTGAGGACCTCCATCCCCGTCACATAACAGCTCGGTTGCTTTAAGGGTGGTTGGCAGTGTGCTTGTTCTTCAAGAGACCTTGTAGACAAGTATTTGGGGTTTCAGCCCTGAATGCAGTCCTGTGAAGTGGAAGCAAACACAGCATCCCTCCCCATCACAGCTCTATCCAGCCTTCGTGGTTTTGTTTTTAAAAAACACTTTAAGGACTTATCTGTCAGTCTTCATTACAGACTGGATGCTCACAGAGAACACAGGTAACGTGCGCCTTCTCTCCAAATGTGAAAAACTGCATTCTAATTAAATTACCTGATACTCAAGCTTTGCAGTACTTCGTATTTAGAAAGCCTCATAAAAAAAAAAAAGTACCTCTGGGCAGTGCTACAGTCTCCACACAGAACTGTTTCACAGAACCATTTTCTCAAAAACTCCAGTACTTGAGGGTCAGGGAAAAATGTTATTTCCAGCAATTTACTTAGAATTTCGGTATTTTTACTTCATAAGCAGCCGCATGTAACTCTTAAGTGCTGCTTGTATATGTTTCATTTTATGTAAGGCATTGCTCTTTCAGGAACCTATCTCAAAAACAGTTTTTGAGGTGTATTTCAAATTTAAGCATCTATCTTCAAAGGTCAAGCATCTGCACTGCTAATTAACTATATCTTGATTTACTTCAAAGGAGTTTTGAGGCTTGGGAAAGCCTGGAATAATTGTGACATTCAATACAGGCTACAGCTCCTGCTCAGAGAGCTTAGAGTAAGGCTTTGTTGGAGGTCTTATCCCTGTTTTAGGGGAACACTTCCCTTTAGCTAGTGAGAAATTCATTTGAGCATTCTGCTTTTGGCTGTGCTCGCGACTTTGCAGCAGAGCTGTGGCAGTACTGACCAGGGATGCTTCAGCTCGAAGAGGCTCGTTCCACAGCTCCAGACTCTGCTGGAGGCAGAGGAGCCCTCCCTCCTTCCCGGAGGTCAGGCACATTTGCTTCTGTGGCCTGGAGAGCAACTTCCTCCTGTGATTACCAGCGTGTGGTCAATCAGCTCTTGTCTGAGAGCAGGACACCCACACATGCAATTATACACACGGTGCAAGCCAGCTGACACCCTCCCTGCTCACTGATGAGGTACAAGCTGCCAGTTTCCCCCACCGCGATTTAAATCACACATTGCAGAAAGACAAAGCGGAAGGATCAGCTTTTAATACCCACTGACAGAAACAGTCCCGGATTTGTGGGCGCAGATCCAGTCTCTCCCACCACCGCTCACGGCAGCGGCCGCGGGCATCCCCCCGCTCGCTCCCTAGCGCACGTAGTTCTTGGGGAAGAGCTGGAAGAGCTTGCCCTCCTGCGTGGGCTCGAAGCCGTACTTCTGCAGGTCGTTGGGGTCGAAGGCGCCTTCCTTCACGTCCTTCTCGATGCGCGGCGCCACCACCTCGCTGAAGAGCAGCTTGGCCGTCAGCGGCGGCTCGGAGCCCTCGGGGGCGCGGTACGAGACGTAGGGCTTGAGCTTGAAGCCCGCCAGGTCGGGGACGACGAACTGCGGCACCATCTCCTTGACCAGGAGGAACTTCTTGTTGGCGGTCAGCACGCCCGGCCTCTTGGCCCCGCGGCCCTTGTTGTGGCTGCGGGGGCCGCGCTTGCTGGTGAACGGGGACATGCGGTCGGCGCCCCGCACCAGCCCGCGGGCCAGCTGGGCCAGGCAGCCCCATGCCGGGCCCCTCAGGAAGCGGCGGGACGGGAGGAGGAGGCGGCGCCGGGCCGAGAGCTGCGGGCTCCGGGCTCTGCCTCCGGCTCCGCCACCGCCGCCTCACCTCACACAACCCGCACCGGCACCCCGCAGCACCGCCCGCTCCCACTGGCCGGAACGGGCTGGCCAATCCGCAGCGCCTATCTTAGCTCTCTCTCGGCGCGGGGCCAATCAGCAGCGAGGAGGCCGGCTGGGTGGGCGGGCTGGGCGCTCCCCTCAGCGGCGGGGGCGGGGCCGGGCCTGGCTTCGGCTCCGCTCGGCCCCGTTCGGCTCCGTTCGGCTCCGCTGGCAGCGCGGGGCCGCCCGGGGGCTCCCGGCGGTGCCGGTGCCGGTACCGAGCCCCCCCCCCCGGCTGCCGCCTGCCCGCAGCGCGGCTCCCCGCTCGCTCCCCGCAGTGTGAGGTGCGTGAGCGCGGCGGGGCAGCGGAGCCTTCCCGGGGAGCCGTTGGGGGAGGTGGGCGCCGCGCGGCCCCCGCCCGCGGGTTCGGGGTTTTTGGCCCCAAAATGAGCGCGGGGGGGGGGGGGGGCGGTCGTTCTCCCTGCTGAGCTCTGGGCTTCTTCCCTCAGGGCCCCGGCACCGCCAGGCATGGAGGAGGAGGAGGAGGGCAACGGCACCGGCCTGGAGGTACGGCGGGGACGGGGGGTACCGGGGGGTGTCGGGGTGCTCTGCCGCTCTCTGTGGCGTTTCCCCGTCACGGCCGTGCTGCGGGCGGCGCTGGCGTTTCAGGGCTTTTCCCCCTCTGGGTTTCACCGTCCTGACGCCTCAGGATCCGTGCGGCTCTCGCCGTGCTGTATTTGACCATTTTTCGGTTTATTTTCGCCACAAGCCCTCCGCGCTCTGCGCCGCGCTCCCGGCTGCGGCCCCTCCGTGCCCTCTGCTTGGCCGTCAGTCCCTCAGGGACTCGTTGCTCTTCCCCTGATGCCACACAGGGGCTGCGATGGGAACTGGCCGCTGTTGGATCTAAAAGCCACACACAGCACGCTTGTATGCAGGCAAAAGGCGTTTTCTGGTGAAAATCCAGCATCCAGTCAAGCCATAGGCATGCAGCCAGGTGTGCTGTGAGCCACAGGGAAGCCTGTTGGGGGGAATTCTGGTTTAAGGTCCTGCTTTCTGCACCCAGGGAGGCTTCGCACCCCTCCCTGCGGGGCACGGCTCGCTGTTTACCTTTGATTGCGATGCAAAGTTCTGGAGCTCCCGCTGGAGCTGCTCCTTCTGTGCCCCGTACTCTGGATGGGTGTGAGCCTTACTGACGTAGCTCCGTGTTTTTATCTACTGTGAAATTTTCATGAAGAAAATAAGAACTAAACCTTGGGAAAAAAGCAGGCAAGTTATTTTCACGACACTACATACCCTTAGCCTATCGCCGCTTCATTTTCCAGTGAAGTGCTGGTCCTCTCAGGGATGTTCCAAACAAGTTTTGTGTCCGAGTGTTGTCTGAAGGCTTCTGAGGACGACGTCAAGTCCTTGAACGCAGGTGCTGGTAGTGGAGGCTCCGTCCTGCAGCCGTGGGATGTTGGGGCTGTGCAGGGCTGGTGATTTAACAATTTCACAGCTGTCCCAGGGGCTGTTTTCCTATGAACTAGCATGCTTACATGGCTGTGGTGCCTGGGAGGTCAGATCCTGCTTGTTGGCTTTCCCTGCTGTTGCCAAAGGATCGCCAGTGCTTGCAAGTCTCCCCATGCTGCTGGGGGGAACGTTGTTCACTGCTGGTGGTTGTAATAAACCATACACGAGCCTCTCAGTTTCTCCTGGAGGTCTGAATTTTTTCTTTCCAGTACTGACTTTTTGTACTGTGATGTGAGGGCTCTGTGTGTGCATTTTGGTTTGTCCTGAACTTGTTTCTTCTCACGTAGCAGCAGTGTGACAGTCAGTTGGCAACTCCTGTTTTCCGTGTTATTTGAGCTCGTACAGGCCCGGACAGTAGCAGAACTCTGTGTAACCCCGACGCTGTCAAGGAGAAACAAACTGAGTGACCACAACTGACTAATAGTGCGAACTCACTGGGCTTTGCCAGACTGTATTGGTGGCTAACAGCTTTTCAAAGTGTTTTTTTTTTTTTTTTTTTTATTGTGACTTTTCACTGCCATCCCACTAATAACAGCCTGACACTGATAACAGCGATAGTTGAGGATGTTGGGAACGTTGTTGGTACGCTGTGTTAAAGCAGCCTCAGAAGATAAACTTTCATCTGCAAGCATTGGCTGGTCAGGCACTGCAAACCTGGAATGAACTTTGATGAGAGAGACTCTCGTGGTTTGGTGACTCTCAGCGTGCGCTTCCAGTTTTCTTTTGGTTGCAAAGCTAAATTAAGACATCATCCAACTCTGGAACTGAGGGCAAAAATTGGGACCAAAAAATAAGATTCAAGAACTTGTAAGGTTTGAGTCGGGCTTAAGACTTACTGGCTGGTGTGTTCTTATACACTTTTTAGTTTCCTACTTGTTCCTAATATTTGGTTTGCTTTTTACCTCCACTCAGTGAAGTTTTGAGCTGTCAAACTTACAGCTTTTATAACTTTCACATTTTTTTCCCAGAATAGCAACAGTCAGGATAGTTTCCAGGGCTGTATACCTGAGCTAGAGCAAATCCCACGTGCAAATCTTCCTGGTTTACGCTGAATTTCATCTGCCATTTTATTGCTTATTTTCTTAGTCTCTTAAAATCCTTTACATTCCACTCTTGTCCTTATTGCTCTGAGTAACATCGTCATAAAAAAAAAAAGCTGTCATCTCACTGTTTGTCCCTGTTTTACCATGGTATAGGAACTGACACTAATACAGAACTCTAGTACTGGCCCCTCTCCACTGAATGTGTTGTGTTTCAGAGTGGATGATAGTTGAAAGAAAGACATTGGAAAATACTATCAAGTTGTATTGTGCATGGCAGAGCAGACACTGAGATGTTTTTATGGAGACTTTTTGCCTGTTGTGGGAAACTAATTTCACTTTCCTTTTGGTGCTAGGCTGTGTTACCAGCAGGTGGAACACGAATTCTTCAATTTGTAGAAGACAGAATACAGACTACTATGGTAATGTACAGCTTTAATCAACTGGGTGAAAGATTGTGTGCGCATAAATAGTGTGCACTTGCTTGTAAGCTCCAAGAACTCTGCTTTGCCAAATCTGAAGTCTGAGTAGACTGAGAGGAGGAGTTTTTGTTTCATTATTGTTGCTGTGCGTAAGGCAGGAATTAATTCCTCTTATTTCATCCCATGTATATTTAGCTCATCAGTTCATAGATCTTTAGGGGAAGAATGCTGAATATTTCGCATATAAGCTTATGAAGCACTGATATAATTTAAATTTAAACTTCTTGTATGTGTGATGTTTTAGTTAAAACTGAAATATTTATGAATGTGCTTGATATTCAGGCCACATACGGAGCTAAACATAAAATAACTTTCAACTACAAAAGTCATTAATTTGTTTTCCCTGTAAATTCTTCCCACAGCTGACTGGAATTGCAATTGGAGCTGCGTTTGCTTTGCTCCTGATAGGGACTGTTGTGATTGTCATCTATAGAAGAGTGAAACAGTCTAGTAAGTACTCAACAACAATGTTTAAAAACAGTTTTCTCAGTATTTTTTTCTCAGTAACCTTCAGTATTTTTGTAGCATTATGTGGTAAATTCTGGGTCAATTTGTAATAACTGCTTGCTGTGAAGGTAGTGGCTTCTGCAGAAAAAAAGCTTTAACAGGATAAAGAACTTGCATTGATACACTTACCCAGCTCTGAATGTCAAATTCATAACTGTCTTGTGCAGGACACTGGAGACTTTTGTTTCTCTAGTGTATGATAGCCTTAATGTCACTTGGCTTACAAATAATTTCAAGCCTGCTGTGATTTCACTGTTAAAATAATGAGACATCAGTGAACTGGAGGTTTCCTTTTGTGATAGTAAAGTCCCCTGATCTCTCTGCCTGTTTAGAGAGCCTTTTTACCTCCCCCAGTGATTAGGTGGAGCCTTAAGCTAGCTCATCCCTAGTCTGGCTTGGCTAACCGGAGCTGAATCGTGAGGTGCCTTGTGCGGGTTTGAATTTGAAGTGCTGACCACAATAGTTTGTTTCTTAGCAGACATGAACTGTGGCTATTAAGGAAGTAACAAAGCTGACAACTCGTGCTTAGTCTTCTTTCTGCCTGTAACATAAAGCTGCAGATGGTTTCTGATGGGAAACTTGTCTGTTTTAGAACAACTTCAACCACATGTGCCTCAATACAGATTTCGCAAACGAGACAAAGTGATGTTCTATGGGCGGAAGATCATGAGAAAGGTAAGAATGTTTGGCATGGTTGGAGGGGCGTAAAGATTAAAAAGATCCAGTTTAGGAGGTCTGGTAAATTTTGAAACATTTTGCTTGCTTAGTCTGGCTCAGGATCTTTGACCCATTAAACTTCCTTGAAATTTTGAGGATGTGTCAGAACTCCTGGAATTTTGCCAGAATTGCGAATGGAACAGCAAAAGCTTCTCTTTCTGATTAAACCTTACCTCCTTCAGGAATATTTTCAGACATCAAGGATAGTGGTGAATCAAAGAATACTCCTCTATGGAACTGATGGTTGATTATCCATCATAATCTACCTATCTTTTCCTATATTTAGAATTATATTCAAGATTTTCAGTGTCTATATTCAGGATTGTCCTTTTCAGATAATGACTTCTAGTGCAGGTCCTTATGTTCAAAGCTGACGCTGTCTTCCCATGTTAGGAGATGGCCAGTCTATTTGGGGAGCACGTACTCAGATTTATTTTTCTGCAGTTTACCTATGAACAGCACTAACCACTTCAATATATGAGCCCTTGTTTTCTTGAATTGTAAATAAGACTTTCAGACTATAATTATAGACTGTTTCAGAGGGCTTTATCCAGTGATTGAACTTTGCCTTAGATTGCAGCAAGGAATGTTATGTGTGCCCTAGGTTTCCTGTCCTGATGTTGTTTGTGCCCTATTATTCTAAAAAGTCTCCTTGAATTTTCTGTCGGTCAGAAGTCAGTTCCTGCATGAGATCTAGTTTGACTCTGGCTGACAAGTTGGTTAAATCCTTAAAGTCTGTGGCTGCCTTTCTGATACTTAGTTCTCTCTTTTTTTCCTTTTTTTTTTTTTTTTTTTTGTCTTTACAGTTTCACTTTGTCTTTTTCACTTGTAACAAGAAGGTTTGAACAGACATTTCCTGTGACTAACTAGGTTAGCCTTAGTGTAGGAATCCTAGGTTTTCACCACTGATGGTCTGGTTTTCAGTTAACTGAGGAGGTTAATGTTCCTGCCTTGCTTCCCTTGAAGCTGTTTAGTGCGTGCTGAACGTGAGATTCTTTTTTCCCCCAGTTGACAGTACCACCGTGACCAAAAGAACGAATCTTTTCAGAGGAGGAATGAATGGCTGTGTCAGCGCAGAGATGTGCAAGCTTGTGAGAAAACCAAATGCAATAGGGCCTGGGTGTTGAGGTGTATCCTTACTCAACACCATCTGTGCCACAGTCTATGGAGCAACTTCTTGGAGTTTTAGTACGTACAGTGTTATTGAGAGAGCCCGGCTTTGGAAAGCTGCATCTTACTCAGATGGGGACTCTGAACTCTTTTCAGAGTAGCAAATGGTTATTGCTTGCTTGTAGTCAGATACAAATGGCTGGTGGAAGAAAAAGGCAGCTTAGTCCTGACTGCGATGTGTGCTCCCTGCCCGCTGTCCTGCGGAGTCAGATCCTGGGTCTGGTGGGGTCCCCGGCCCCTGGGACCTGTGAGGCAGGAGGGGGCTGGAGCGGCCCCTTCAGGACCACCGGCAGAGTGGGGCTGCAGGCGTCCTCGCTGTCTGTGGGGCAGCCTGCTCGAGCCCAGCTGTGTGCTCACACAGACACTGCTTAACAATGTGTAGAGAAATAAGGTAGGGATAAATAACCTTGCTTTGTCAGACACTGCTTGTGGAGGAACGCTTCCTCTTGTGGGCTGCCGCAGCCCTCTGCCTCATGTGCTTTGCTCAGATATTTGGGCTTAATGATAGACACTGTGCTGTTTTTAAAACTGAGCATTGTTCTTGGACTGTGCTTCTTAAATTCAGAACTTCATAATTTTCATGTTGTCTGACACATTTATATAAAGCTGCCTAGAATTTCACATGGTGAAATCATTTTATGAATGAGATATAAAGAATATTGCAAACTGCTGTTTGTAGTGGAATGCTTTATGCATTTTTGGTAAAATGCCAAGCTTGTACTCTTTTAAAAAAAAAAAAAAAAAAAAAAAAAAGGAAAGAAAAAGAAAAAAAGTCTCCAAACTAATTAAAGTTTTTTTATTATTATTTTTTTTGTGTGTGAGAAAAGCATTAATACTTCGGTTATTAGTGAGTTTATTTTCTTGGTCTTGCAGTTGTTGCAATTCTCCAGAAGGTGGCACTTAGTTACTGTGAAAAGGAAGCAAAAGACTGGCTGCATGTCTGTGCTGCTGTTTGTCACCAGTTGAAAAATGAATCAGGCCTTGGTGTGTTAACATCAGACCTCCAAAGGAATACTGGAACGTTAAATGTTACTTCTCTGCCTGACATTGGGTGTTCCTAAGTGAGAATTGTATAGCTAAGGGTTTGTTTTTCTTCACTACCATCCACTAC